TAAACCGACTTAACACCCAAACTAAAAAAAACTCAAAAGCCATTTGGTTTCTAACTCGGCCAGTTCTGCCGAAGTCCTGCACTCACTGATCCACTCTGCATTACACAGCAAGTTCAAGGCAGAGCAACCGTCTCAACCTGGAATCTCATTGCTTGTGTCAGTGTCATTGTTCTGCACCCAGTGCAATGAGAGGATTAAACAAACAGGGTAACATTTTAGACTGGATTGATGCCGGCACAGACATTGCAATACTCCGCAGCCCAGGACGTCATTTGTCCGCAGCCAGTTCCTTTCCCCAAACCTTGTCTTCACTTTAGTGCAGGTGAAGCTCCATTTCTAAACTGGCTTGACCACCCACAGATACCCACTTGAAATCTTGGAGCACAGCCTGCGCCAGTACAGAGAACGTCGGAGCACCCCCCCACCCCGATACACCTTCAAAGCCAGCTACGGCTACAACCCAAGCAATTCCAGTGCAATTAGTACCACTGGCATAGAAACAGTCACAGCACCAAGTCAATTAGCCTCAGAATATTCTGTAAGAATATAGCAGGTTAGCAACACGCAGCCAGTGAAGGCACCCAAGCCAGACTGTTCCAACATCACAGCGGACTCCCTTCCAGAACAGACACGACATCACTTTGCATCTTACAGCAAAAACTCTGACTGGAAAGGAATAGGATTTAGGATACTATAAATACTGGATCAAATTCATCCTTGGGGTGAGTATGTCTGCTGATGTCAGGGGAGTTGCCCTGGGGAGGAGCACGCCACGTAGAATTTTGATCCCCACATGGATCAGGTCCCTAACTGAATTCAATGGGGCTGGGGGGGGGGGGGGGGGGCGGCGACGTCATCATATGTACAACTGAGGGCAGAATTCAGTCCACTTTATTTCACCAGTCACAATTTAAAGAAGTCTTTGCCAAAATACTGGCTTTTTCCATAGCAGATTTCAGCCTGGTGTTTAAACCCTGTAAACTCCACGGATTACTAGGGTAGTCTCTTGCGATATGCTCTGCTGGCCACACTGTAACGTGGAACCAAACGCTATTCAGTGACTAAGAAAAAACGGAGACAAAAAGATGTCCACAGGAAAAAAAGTCTTCCTAAATGATCTTTCAAACTCCCATCTAAACTTGGAAGTTCTCCGGTTTAAGTGAAGCCACGTTTTCACCTTTGTTGAAAGGAAAGGTCTAGGTTAAGAAACATTCTCAACTACCCATAGCAGACAATTCAGATTCGTCTGATTTTATATCATTTGCTAGTCAGTAATCAGGGGTTTTTGTTAGTATCTGTGCCCTCCCACCCCATGAAACCTTAATCAAAAAGGGAGGGGTGAATAAATAATGCCAGTGAAGCACTAGAAGCATTTGTTGAAACCAGGATATTGTCTCTTTAAGCACATGAAAATAAGGTCCTTAAGCAGTGTGGTTCTCACTCTGGTACACAATTATGGGTACTTTCAGCTGTCTAGCACTATTTCAAGTGCTCTCTCCAAACAGGCTGTCAATGGCATGTTGAAAGCTATTTGCGGCTGCTATCATTATTAGCAAAGTGGAGAGCTTCACTGATGAGAATTAAATTCAGGGAGGGGGTGTGGAGGGGCGAGCTACAATCCACAACAGCAGAAGGCAAACAAGGCTACCTTAGGGAATAAAGTTCAGAACAGGTATCTTTAGATCTGCTGCCAGGATTCCTGACACTAATACTGAAAACAACAGGAGTTAAAGGTGGGAATTAATGAGCCAGCTGTCACTAAGGGTTAAAATAGCTGGAAAATATTTGTTTCTACCTTAAGATGTCAGAAAGTATCATAATAAGCAGTTATTTGGCTTCTTAAGTGTTTAGCGAGTTATTATCTGGCACGCCTTGCTAACAAGAATGATAAAGTATATCGTGTTCTTGGAATATTTCAGAAGAAGCAGGATTCGCTCATGAAAGTGTCAATATGGTTTAAATGTGTTCCAAGGCCAAAGTCTTAGTTTAACTCTAAAAACAAGAAATGTTTATGTGCTGAGCTCTTAGCCATCAAGACTAGAAACTAGCGGTATTTACCACCAGGCGTTCTGTCTCCCAACACATGATTAGTTGCTTTTCTGGATTATTCAATTAGATTATTTCATCCAAATCTTTCTAGATGATAAAAAGCAAGATTGGACCAATAAAGTGGATGCAATGCAAAATTGACATTGGAAAGAAAAAAAACCCTCAGTAAAACTTACCGGGCAGCAACTATATATTTAAATACTACGCAGATAAAACTTGTATTTAAGAAGATTGAATTTGGGTAACATAGCACTTACCACAAGAGATTGTGGCAGACACTAGGAGTAATTCCCTGAATCATATGCAATAGAGTGAGTTGTCACTTCATACATAATTCCTTGCATGTAGCCTATGGAGTCATTCATGAAATCACCTTTATTCTTATTTCTCTTTGTGATTTGGTAAAGAGAAAAAACACACACACTTTTAATATTCAATGTAGAAGAGATAATCTGTTATATAAGCCTACAGACAGGCAATCCCCTTTTGCTTAAAGATGAAGTATCCATCAGTGTTTGTCTCAGGCAGATGTAATCACAAGCAGTCAAGTCTGGAGGGCAGGACACTGCATGAATAATTCAAGCACTCCAGTCTACTTGATTGTGTGCAGATAAACACAAGTCAACCGCTAAACAGGTCAGCTGATAAACTTGTTTGTTCAGGACTAGCCACCCTCAGCCAGATGCACCCAGGACCCACACTGCAATTAGTGGTAGGATTTATTTTGTAAAGCCCTTGCAGTCAGGAAGAGTGACAAACCCTTTTAGATTATACTTGCTCTTCTCTCCTGAGTTCTCACGCCCTCCCTCCCTCCCCCTTGTCCTCTTTGCTCATTTCACCCAATTCTGAGATTCAGAAAACAGACTATACGGTCATTTCAGCTGCTAAGACAAGGATGGTGGCTCTGTTTTTCTGAAGCATCAAGCACACCATTGGTGATCAAACAACAAAAACAGCTTCTCCTCAGAGACCCTGTCCAATTCTAATATAAGGTACTGGACATACAGCCACCCGCGATGATGAAAGCAGCCAAGAAAGGTTCCACTCAGGAACCATTTGACGAATATCCTTATTTAGACCTTTAAAATGGAGGAACACAAGACAGGGAACACCAGATCCACCCAGGCTTCCCTGTTAGGGATCGCTGTTTTTGAACAGTGCCCCAAGATGTAAACACTTGTACATAACTAACATTGTTGCACTGTAATAACATCAGTATGCAAAATTCCACCAAAGGGAAGAAGGCCTTTCACTCTCTCACAAAAACACAAACTGTAACACAGCTCGCAATGTTACAGAAAATGGCAATCTAGCAACATACCCCAACTCTACCCTACAGCTCTGACACTAGGCATTTTAAAGAGACTAGCCAGGATGAACACTTCATTCAGTTTGCCAGACTAAATGCTGCGAAAGAAGGTACATTTCATTTTATGTTCCTGCATACGTCACAGATTTCCAAAAAGAGGAAAAGAATTCCAGCACACGTTGTGGAGGTAAAACGTATCCTGTAATAAAAGCAGCATGTTTTGTTTTGTTCTACGACCCAAAATGTACTCTCATAAAAACATTCAGGGTCTGTTGTCCTCTTGACAGAGACATAAGACTCCCATTAGCAATCGGATATAACTGCACCAAAAGGTCGCATCACCCAAAGAGATCTACGTAGAAATTCTATCCTTACAGGTCTCTTCGGCTTCATAAAACCAGAAAATGCTACAGGCTCCCCAAAGCACTGCACCACAAAGTCCATCTGAACAGGTCTTTGCAATTCTCCCTACACAGGTCACTATCCAAACACGAGGACACTTAGCTATATCAGCTAATCTACTGCTCTCTCTTTATATGAATGCATATAAAACTATCAAAATAAGTCTGTAAATCACAGTGCATCTTTGCCAGGCAATGATCCTGTCAGAAGGGAAGCAGCAAAAGAAAAAAGTATGGCTAGTCAGCATGAGCAGAAGAAATTTTGCAAGACTAAACCCAATGTAAATTATTTTTGTCACTGTTTAAATAATTCTATATACCTAGCAAGTCTGTATGAACTGAAGGGGAGAAAAGATAAATAAAGCCCGCACCACTGTGTATTTAAATAACATGTATTGAATCTAGTCCACTACCTAGTTACCTTGTAGTACCTTGTTATTCAGGAGACTGTCAATACGATTTACATTGCTATTAACAAAAACACTGAGTCAAACTGGTTTGATTCATGAATTGCAAAGATGATGTCACCTTATATCTATCTGAAGTTCTTAGAACTACTTTTAAAACCAATAAGCAGCAGCACCGCAAATAATCAGGTCTAATCTCAATAATAACTTCATTCCTTTAAGTTTTACCATCATGTGCCCAGCCTTTAGGCTCTTTAGCTTTAATCTTATCAAGGTAGCACATCACATTCTGCAACAGTCCTTCATGTTTTCCCTTTAGGCAAATTATACATTAGAGCAGACAAAAGTTGCAAACATTTCTTCACCTTCCAGATGTAGGATGTAAAACATGGCGTTGAGCCACACTGCAGTGGCTGCTAAAATCCTACAAGACAATTTGTTCTGAAGTCATACATTCCAGTGCTGTATTAATTAGAAGAATGACCTTAAAGAATGCTGAGTTGCACCAACAATCAAATCTGTATTAATTAGCTGTGTTTTTCATGTTTAATCATATACACAAGATGTGCTAATCCGGGTACACATCTCGGTATGAAAAGTTCACAGCATTACTTTCATCTCTCCTTGTAAACAATTTAAAAAAATCTGAAATCTTCCCTAACATATGCAAAAGTGTTGGACTTCCATCAACTCAGTTTCATATTTACTCATGGTCAACAGCTCCACACAGGTGTAACACCAACCATTTGACCAGTTAGCTTTTATTTATCAAAACCAGGACTTCATTTTCATGGTTCAGGGAAAGGAGACAGGATATGGAAGAGAATCACTCACCTGTTTGTGCATTTCAATATTCAAACCATATGACATTTCGTAGTACTGGGGGGGGAAAAAAAAAGTATTTTTTCATTGATTTTGCATAAGACCATTATCAGAAAAGCCTCCTGGACAGAACTGTGCTCAAAGCATATTAAACAAGGAAATTTTAAATCATAAGTAATAGCCACATGCATGTAGGGTTTAAGAGACACACACGTAACAAGGGGATACTACTTTTCTCGTTCATCTATTCCCTATAAGTTAGTTAGAAGAAACAAGACAGCAGCTTACCCTTCCCCCAGAGCTGTGTGCGACCAGTATGTATAAGTTCGAATAGAAAAGTTAATATACTGCAATTTGGCAAACATCTTGTAATTTTTCCTTTAAAAGTTATTTCTGCCCTGTGTCCTACATGTCTTCTTTTGCAGTCAGGGAATGGGCCTGTACTTCGAAAATGAACGCTGGTCACACTAAATTGATTAGAAATACAAATCAAAAGAATCACCTCACCTACTGCCCCTGTAATGCAACTAGAGTGAAAAGATTTCTGTAGCAACAAAAGAATCCACTTTCCTCAAAGCAACTGGGAGAGATGATGTCGTAACAGGCCTTCTCTGGCCTCAGGCAAAACAAGGAGCAGTCTGACCCCTGTCTCCTAACATCAGAAGTTAGTCCAAACACTCCAGGGTCAGCAAGTTGCAAAATGCGTGCTTACAGTGGGCTGAAGTTTTAACTAGGCAACGATACAAACATGGATTCTTGTGATACAGAGTCAGCAGAACTCCTGCCTCTAAATGCTTCAAAATCCTCTTTGGGAGTGTCAGGGGAAGAGGGTTAACAGGAGACTTGTATTAGGTTTCCAATCTTTTTAAGTCTGCTGTCCTCAGGCACAAGTCAAATATTTGGTAAATATAAAGGGAGGACACAAGAGGATCAATGCCTGTCAAAACAGGGCAGGAACACTGGTCACCAAAAGTATTGTTTTTCTCCTTAGAGGATGGTTCACAACCCGCCAGGCAGATAACACTGAAGGGACAGCTGTAATGTTTAGAGATAGGAACCATCCGGCCCCAAGCAAGGCACAGAATAAAGACAACTTGTTCTGAATGGGCAATACTCATTTTAAGGGTCCCGCATCACCACCATCCCCTGGCCCATTTCACTGCTCCATCATCAGCGAATGCCATGTGCAGTCGGATACAAAATCTGATTAAAGTCTCTTACCATAACATAATGGCGCTGCATTTCTGTCTTTTCGTTAGCAAGCTTATCATATTCCACTTTAAGACTAAGAGGATAAAACAGAATAAATATATGTTTAAGAACCCGCAGTGATGAAGTGACAAGTCAAGTGGGGGCAAGGGGGGGGGGGCGGGGAAAAGAGACACCATCTTGAGTAACACTTCTTAGAAGCACATCACCCCAGATCAGTAGATTTTTGTTTGTTTTTGTAATAGCCCCTTAGTACTGCCAGGTTTCTGCTCAATGGCAGGCTAGCAGACGTCTTGCAAGCTAGAAAGATGGGAAATTTCAGCAGAACAAGAAGGTAATTTTTTTTTTCTGGGGGATTCCTCGTGGCAAAACAGGAACCTTGCTGGGGGTGGGGGGTGTTTCTTAGAATGGATCAAAGGGGGGGGACCCTAGTGACAAACAAAGGTTCCATCCAGCAGGGATTTGGAGGGGTTACTAGAGCTTTTCCGATAAGCCCAGGAGGCAGAGGGTTAAAAACTGGGGCAGTTCCGAAATGACAAACAGGGAGGAACAAAAGGAGCCTTGGCTGGCGATTGATGCTAGTCAACACAGAGCCATAAATTGCTCTTCTAAAGACATTTTAATACATGCTCTAGTGTGCACTTAAAATCTGTCATTAAACATTTAACCTTTGCTAAGCAGGGAGGGAGACAGGCAGACAGAGAGAGTTACCTGTGATATTGGGCTTGCAAAAACTGGAATTCATCCTTAATCCTATCGCAGGACTCAGCCACTGTGAATTTGAAGCCCGGCTGCCCAGGCTGGTGGGGAGCCTAGGGGTACACACAGGCAGACAAGGAAGAAAACAAGCCGTTTACAGACCAGGGAGAGATGCCTGGCCCTCCAGTCCCTTCCCCAGGAGCCAGCCCTCCCCCAAATAAACAGGCTCCAACAGGGATCCGAGATCCCCTCGCTACCCCTGAAGTTTCCCAGGCTGGGTGGCAGGGGCGTCGGGGCGCTTCCTGGCACCGGGAGAGCCCCTGCTTCCCCGCGAGGCTCCCCGCGCCTGGCTGCTCCCTGGCTTGCTTGTTTGTTTGGAGACGCGGAGCCCGGGGGCACGCCCGGGGGCACACTCCGGTCTCAAGGGTGCACAAGCATCACCGCGATGCACGGACAGATTGACACACCCATCGCCTCTGCCCCCCCCCCGCCCCAAAGATCAAGGGTGGGGGAGGGAAATAGGTTGCAAGGGAAACGCCCGGGGGCAGCGAGGACTTACCGGGTGCCTGCCTTGGGGGTACATCGCAGGAGTTCACCGGCCCCCAAGTCACTCCCCCACCGGCCCCAAGCGCCTTCTGCTCTCAGGCGAGCCCGGGCCGGGCCGCGGCTCGGCCACGAAGCTGCCCCGGAGGGGCCAAAACTGGAACAAAGGAAGAAGCGGAGTCCCGGGCGGTGCGAGCTCGGGGCGCCTAGCAGGCGGGCAGGCTCGCCAGCCCCGGGCGCAGGAGCCGGGCTCCCCTCGGGCGAAAGGCGCACATGGCGGGGGGCGCGGGGCAGCGCCCGCTCCTCGGCATCCTGCTGCCCGCTCCCTCCCTCCCTCCTTCCCCCGGGGGGCTGCGGGCTCCGGCCCCCGAAGGCGGAGAGTCAACCCAGGCTCCGCCGCTCCTCAGCCCGCGGGGCTGCCGCCCGCCGCTCTCCACGATCCAGCCCCGCTGCTCGGCGCCGAGAAAAACCCCAAATCCTGCCGCCCGAAGAAAAGGGTCGGGGTGCGGGGGGGGGCGCCAAAGCCAGGCCACTTCCCGGGCGACGCGCGCGGGCAAAGGGCGAGCCGGGCTCCGCCAGCCGCTCGGGCTCGGTTTGCGAACTCCCTCTTCCCGGGCGCCCGTTCAGCTCCTCGCCGGCCCCATCGCTCCGCAGCCCGGCGGCGGGGTCCGCTTCCGAAGAGGGCTCCTCGCCGGCGGGTTCAAGCCGCGGGGACCCCCGGCCGCCGGGAGCCGGAGCCCGGCGGAGAACACATGCTCCCGAGGAGCGGCGGCGGCGGCGGCTGGAATCCCCCCTGCCCTGCCCCTCTCGCCGCGGCCAGCGCGCCCCGGGACCCCGGCGATGCCACCCACAGACTCCGCAGGCAGGAGGCAGCGCACGAGGGGCCGAGCCGCCGCGCGAGAGCGCTCGGGAGAGGGAGTGAAGTGTAACAAAAAGCAGCCCCAGCGTCCCCGGGCCGGACCAATGGCAGCGCGGGGAGCCCACGTGGGGCGGGGCAGCTCGGCCGGCGAATGGGCGCCGGCAGCGGGAACGTCACAATGCCATCTTGTGTCGGGAAGGCGCCCTCGGCCCTGCCCCGCCGCTGGGGGGCTGTGGCCGGCCGGGGAGCGCCCCACCCCGCTCGGCTGCCGCGGGCCTGGGGGGGGAGGGGGAGCCCTCGGACACGAGTGGGGAGGCGGGGAAACGGCCCCGGGCCGGCTTGGCCTTGGAAAGCGGCTCGGCCGCTGCAAAGCCGCCCCGTGTGCACGGCCCGAATTCGGAATGTCCCTCGGGGCGGGGAATGGGGGGGCGGGGGGCGCCCCCGCTCTGGGCAGCCCGTCGGCCGCGAGCCCGAACTCCGCGGCGGAGAAGCAGCAGCAGCAGCAGCAGCCCGGGGATGGGTTTGGCTTTGCCAGGGGCCCTGCCTCTGCCGCTAGCTCCGGGTCGCGGGGGGAGGGTGGGAGCCCCCCAGCGCCAGAGCTGTCGGGGACGATGCACCGCCTGCGAGCGAGCGAGCACCTTCCCCCCGCCTCCTCAGGCAGCAGCTTAGCAGGCCCATTAGCTACTAGAAAGCGACCAGGAGCGCTCCGCCACTTGCCTGTTTCCCCTTCTTAAGACTTAGCAGCGATAACATGGGGCAAGAACAAGGGGGGGGGGGAATAGCCTCCCCCTCCGAGAAAGCCTGCGGGGGACTCACAGAATGGCTTTCCTTCCCCCCCCCCCCCCCAAAAAACAAAACGACCAGCCAGGCCCGCATCCCCTGGGATGCTTTCTGCCCGGTGCTCCTACCAAGGGGATCGGCCCTTTCTGCCGTCACGACCCGCTTCCCCTCTTCCTCCCCTGGGCGCCTTTCGAGTCGGAGCCGCTTTGGTGAAGAACTCGGGTCACGTCGTTCAAGTTACCCACGCACCCGACCGGACTGGAATATCCCGGGGTTTACACGCCCTCCAAAGCGGTGTTTATTGTAACTGCTGCGGGGCGCATGGGGGGGGGGGGGGAAGAGGGGGTTGAGCCTTTACATCAAACAAGAGCCCAGCCGCAGAGGGTCCCCCCGGCGGAGGGCTGATCTGCAGCAGCCTTTACGCGCACCGTGTTTGCAAACTCTGCTTTCGAGCCTCTCCCCCTTCCTAGGCCGAGTAAGTGCAGCACCCAGAAAGGCAGGCAGGAAAGCGCCTAAGGGTGCGAAGCGGGGATTGGGGCCCACCCTTGTTTTCCCCTCCCGGAAGATGGTTCCGAGGTCCCGCAGGGACGCGGTCAATGCCGTCCGCTCGGCAGATGGGAACGCTCCTGAGTCAGGAGAAACACACGAGGAGCCGGCACGCGTGGGCCCGGCCGGCCGTCGGGGCCCGGCCTGCGGGTGCGAAGCCCGCAACAAGGCGCTCCGGGCTCGGGTCAGCTGCCCAGCCCCTCCTCGGAAACGCCCGGCCCACGGGCCTGCTGGGGCCCGGGCTCCCCCGCGGAATAATCCTCGCCCGTGGGGCAGGCTGCGGGTCCAGCCCCCGCGGCTATTGCGGGGCATCCCCCCGCCGCCCCCGGGTGAGCTCCGCCCGCAGCACCCCGGCCCGGCCCTTTCCACGCGCGGAACGGGGGCTTCGGCTGAGGCCCCCCGCAGGGAGACACACGCGGGGCGAGGTTCCGCCCACGCGAGAGTGAGCGCGCGCGCGTGTGGGGGGGTGGGTCTTGCACCTGCCCTGGAGGGGGGTGGGAGGGAGGCGTGCAAGCCGGGCAGGGCTCAGAGCAGCCCCCGCTTGCAGGGCTCGCCCGCGCCGCTCGGCCCGCCCCTGCACCGGGCTCGGGGCTCCGCAGAGACACCCCCGGCTCCGCGCCCGGGCAGCCGCTATTAGCACAAAATGGCTCCTCGCGCCCCACGTCACAGACCCAACCCGCCCTGCCTTCCCCCCACGTGGGGACCGCAGCGCGCCACCGCCCCCCGCGCTTTAAAAAAAAAAAAAAAAAGCAGCCGTCCATCAAACAGATCCATCCGACCAATCGGCAAGGGGCACTGCCGGCTGCCTTCTGTCCATTGGCGGAGGCCGCCCAGGCTGCCACTCCAGCGTCGGGCTTGTCAGTCAAAGCCACGCGGGGGCCGAGCGCTGACAAACGCCGCCGCTTCTCAGCGTCCCGCTTGCAAATAGTGCTTGGAATGGCCGCTTAATTAGCTTGGAATGGCTTTTCCTTCCAGCTCAAACAATCTGTCACTACCGTGCGGGGAAAAGGAGCCATGCATAAAAAAGTAAGCAGAGGCTAAATATCAATTTGATTCTGTGTATCAAAGGAATATTTTATTTTTCTCCCTCGTAATGAAACGTATCGATTTAAATAATAAAAGGGGAACGCGGGAAAGGGAAAGTCGCGCGCACACCCGCACGCCCACCATGCAGATGTCTCCCCTTGCAAAAGCTGGGGTTTGGGGATGGGGTTGAAATGGGGGGGGGGCGAGACCCCGACGCTGCGGGAGGCGGTTGGCCTGTGGTGGTTACAGGGTCCGGTTGCTACTTCCCAGCCCCAGAAAGGGGGGGGGGTAGAGGATCCCCCCCCCCGCACCCCCGCGTGCAGGTGTCAATTTGGGCCTCCCAGCGCCCGGTTGCCCGGGGAAAGCCGGCTCGTCCCTTCCAGCCTGCCGGGGAGCAGGGAATCCCAGGGGACCGGGCGAGCCCCCTTCCTCCCCGCCCCGTCGCCTGGGGCTCAGCACGGCCCCCCCCCCCTCGCCTCGCTGCAGGAGCAGCCCCCGAATTGCAGAGACACCGCGGGCCCCGGACACGGGGGGGTTGGGGGGGGGGATGCATCACCCGGAGGGCGGCGGGGGGGACCCTGAACCCAGTGAGGTCCCGACGCCTCGGCCTCCACTTCCCATTGGCTGCCTCGCCCCTGTCTATGTTACGAGAAGTGTCCGGGCCCGTCGCTACGGGAGCGCTGCCTTGTCATTGGCCGCTCCGCGGAGCACCTGGGAGTCCGCCCCACGTGGGAGCCGAGTTCCTGGCACAACGCTAAACAAACAAACAGAAGAAGGGAAAAAAAAAAAAAAACCCCACCCCTCCGCCCGGTCCCCAAAGCGGGAAGGAAAGTCCGGGCTGGACTCCCCGAGCCCGGGAGCCGGAGCGGCAGCAGCCCTTGCAAGGCCGCCCCCTGCTGCCTGCGGCTTGTCTCCCTGCCGCCTCCTCTCCCAGTGGTCCCTCCAGCCTCTCTCAAGCTGCCGCCAAGCCCGGCCCAGGGGAGCCAGGAGCTCTGGCTGCCCTGGCATCCTGGGTGGCTTTGGCTGGGCAAGATTTGTATTGGGGACTGGCCTCAGCATCACAAGCACCTGCCGGCTTGAGCTAAAAGGAGCCACTTCACTGGCTGGTAGCAGTAGTAGGGTGTTACCCTGGAGGGGAGGAAGCAGCAGAGGGAAGCATGGAAGATACTTTGCCTTGCCGGTGTTGCACAGGAACTCTGAAAATCAGCGCGCTCTCCTTTTACCGAGGTGCCTTTAGGGTTGAAATAGCGTCTGATCCATGCTAGGTGGGAATATTACCCAGCAAAGATGACAAGAGTTGAAACCCACCCCCCAGCAATGACATATTTTGTCATTGGTAATGCAGGAGTACTGAGGGCTATCCTGAAGTGTTCAGATCAGCCCAGAGGAAAAACTACCCTTAGCCACATTCAGTATTCCCCAGACTTCTGCAAAAGATACTGACCAAGAACAGCTTGCTTCACCAAGCTGGAGAAGCTTCCCTGCTGCCTAGCAAAGGAAGTAATGATTTATGATAAATCCCCAAATAATTGCACTTTGTCCTCAGTGCTTGCTTTGGGCTTGCACATGTTTGTTAATTTTTCACTAATAGGAAAGGGTAATTGATCTTACAGCAGGCAGGCTTATGGTATCTGCAGCTCCTCCGGAAGGGCCCCTTTGTTTTGCTGAACTCAGTGGGACTGAGTGTGTTTCAGCCCTTTGGGCTTGGTCCAGCAGAGTCAGTGAGAGCTTGCTGAAAAGCCTCACTTCCCACTGACTTTGACTGGAGTTGGGAGCATCCTGCACCTTGGTGAAAACAGGTGAAATAGAGTAAAGTGATTGTGCTTTCACAGAGCCTGGTTCTGCTTCGACGGAAGACAGTTTGATTTTTGCTATTGACACTAGTGGGAGTAGGATCAGGCTCTTTGCTGCGAATCAAACATCTAGAATCTAAGGGTATTAGAAGTAGGAAGAGCTAGCTTACTAAACGAAGGCCTGGATCCCACAAACAGTTATGCATATAGCAGTATAACCCTGTGAGCAGATAGGTGCTTGCAGGATCAGGGCCTAACATGCAATAATAATAAATATTATTTGTATTACTGTCTCCTGGACCAGGACGCCATTGTGCTGGGTGCTCTACAAACACAGAACAAAAAGACAGGCCCTGCCCCCAAAGAGGTTACACGCTAAGTACCTTTCCCTGTGTCCCTGTCCTAGCATCAGGAGATCATATATAGTACTTGGACATCAGGTCACTTTCATATGGGTGCGTAAGGCCCTGATCTTGCAAAGTGGACCCGTTGACTTTAGTGGGGTTCAGTGTAGCTGTAAGGTCCGCTTGTGGGATTGGGTCCTAAATGTGGATTTAGACAGATGATTTTAGGAACTCAGGATTGAAAGTTTTGGTCTTAATCTCTCTGTGCTTCAGTACCCAATCTGTAAAACAAGGATGTTATTTCCCTAGCTCCTAGGGATATCGGGAAGCATCACTGATTGAAAAGCTAGTCTCTTTAGGAAAAGTGGGGGGAAGGGGTGGGAAACAAGATGTTTTTGCATTGAAAGTTAGTTATCACTGGCTTAACACATTACACAAACCGCTCCATGGTATTTACATAGCAATTCTGGTTTCTATTTAATGATTTCCCGAAAATTATTATTATTTTCATCACTTTCTCATTTCATCTTAGCTCCAGTCCTGTTGAGATGCGGTAAAGTGACCAAGAATGTCTGTTGCTAATTGATACTTAGCACACCAGGGCCATACTGAAATAGCAGATTTTTGATTGTAGGTTATTAAAATTTACCTGGTTCAAAAAAAGCCATTGGAGAGGGAAGGAAGTGTTCTGATTCACATGGATTTAAAAGTCTATTTAAATGGGTGCTTTCATATCCTCATTATAAATCAGGCTTTCCCCCTACCATTTTCCCTGTACATTATTTTTCTTTTTCTGTGTAGTGTTTTCATGTGACCAGACAGAAAGTTAGCATGAAAAGAAAATCTCACATTTTTAACTGAATGTGTTGTGTGCGTCAGATGGCAGCTTTCAAAACAATAACAATAAAAATAACAGTTTTAACTTTCACTTTTTCTGCCTAAAGGCACCCCAGTGTTCTCTCCTGTGCCAAACAAAGTGACATGGATTCTGGGAGGGAATCCTACACCCAGGAAATAAGAGGATGACAATGTGAATTGTACTGTCAACTTGTTTCTAGTTTCTTCTCGGCTATGAGACTCCTTCCATTTCAGATTTAGTAGTAACATACTGTTTCCCTTAAACCTGAAAGCTCCTGGGTTATTGCAAAGTCAAGCTCTGAGGGTTGCAATATGAAACAGACATGATTATCCCACAAGTGTGACTGGAGCATGGGAAGTCGCATCTTCGGTTCTTAAGTCTACACAAACAGGGCTGAACCCGGAAAAGAGTAAGGCGTCCGAAAGCTTCCCCTTCTTTTGCGACAGTGTGTAAGCACTCCTGACACTGAAGGAAGAAACAAAACCAGAAATAAAACAACCCCAACTACCTCTCTGCAGAGTTCACTGTTACTGGAGGGTTCGGAAAGGTTTTTCTTTGGTTGAGTCAAGCAAGAGGTAGTGGATGTTGGCCAGGATGAGGTTCTGAAGATACTCAGGGAACTGACAGAGGTAAGAATGGCATCTGAAGGCCAAGGCAGAGTGCAAAGGGAGGTTGAAGGGGTATCCAAGGAGAGTGCTTACGAAAGAGCAAGACTTGCCGGGCGCACAAGTAGGTGACGATTCTCTTCCAGCTGGATATTGATCTCAGTAGAGAGAGTGAACAGGCAGGATGTGGCACAGGGGCTAGATGTCTGAGATAAAAATTCAGCCTTTAAGTAGCTGAAGCCCATGGCATGCCAAGACTCAGAGTTTGACTCCCACCTGGTCAAGGGGATGGTTGTTACGCTTTTCCACAGACAGAGAAGAACCAGCCCAAATGGCTTATTTTGGATTAAATAAACTGCAAACGCACAATGAAGAGCAAACATGAAGTCTACATGGGACGGCGGCCACCAAATGGCAACCAGAAAGATACTGTAGAAATGTAAAGGCACAGCACTTGGAAAATAACGGCATAACAGTTACAACCTACACACACCACAGATGTCAGTGTCGGAAGATGGAGATACGGGGGAGTCACTCAGTGTCTTTTAGTCTCTGGAGAGCTGTGTCCATGCCTGGAGAGGGCGTGTGACAGTCTGCCTGTGATTTTGCATAATTGCTGGTCTGGTGCTTGATGCTCAGTCGTGTTCCGAGTTTGGATTGAAGCACATTGTGAGAGCTGTGGGGGGGTGTTTGCTCAGCTCCCATCTAGCCTGGACTTACAACCAGTGCACCAGAGAGAGCTTTACAGAGCTCAGGGAGGAACAAAGACAGAAAAAATGGTGGTTCGAACATGAGGGCCAGGATCAGAGGCGTAACTGCAGAAGAAAAGCACCTAACCAATTGCCTGCGCTCATGCAGCCTTCAGGAGTGAGTCACTTCAATCAAGGAAAAGCCAGCATGTTCCAGTCGTACAACAGCCTAATGTTAAACCCAGAATAGCAAGATCTGTTCTGCCTGACCCCTCCAGGCACGTGGGAAAAGGAGCCGGGAGCAGACAATGGGTAAGAGCTTTTATTTATGCCCCTATACTGGCAAAGGGGGCAGAGTTCACACATCATGCTCTCCAGGGGTTCTTTGCGCCCGCACCAGTCTTGTCTACACATACAGCGCCACTGCGGCACTTAGTGAAGATGCTACCTACTCCATCCAACAGGAGAGCTTCTCCCATCAGTGTAGGAACTCCAACTCCCCGAGAGGCGGTAGCTGTGTGGATGGGAGAAGCCCTCCCATTGATACTGCACTGTCTACACCAGGAGTTTGGTCGGTATAGCTGCGGTATAGTTATACACCCACACGTGTCCGTAGTGTAGACCAAGCCTTTGATTACTCTCAAACAAGTGGGCTGACACCCAGAGCCATCCACAGCTGCTGCGCACCCCCATCCTCTCCTATTACTTCT